AACTGTCAGACATCTAGAGAGATAACTCAACTGTCAGACATCTAGAGAGTTAACTCAATGGTCAGACATCTAGAGAGTCAGACATCTAGAGATATAACTCAACTGTCAGACATCTAGAGAGTTAACTCAATGGTCAGACATCTAGAGAGTTAACTCAATGGTCAGACATCTAGAGATATAACTCAACAGTCAGACATCTAGAGATATAACTCAACTGTACATCTATAACTCTGTAAACAGTCAGACATCTAGAGATATAACTCATTGAGGACATCTAGAATAACTAACAGTCAGACATCTAGAGAGATCTGACTGTCAAGATCATCTTCTCAGATGTCTTGAGTGATGGATTTGTTCATCTATTTGACATGCACTTCTCAGATGTCTTGAGTGATGGATTTGTTCATCTAATTGACATGCACTTCTCAGATGTCTTGAGTGATGGATTTGTTCATCTATTTGACATGCACTTCTCAGATGTCTTGAGTGATGGATTTGTTCATCTATTTGACATGCACTTCTCAGATGTCTTGAGTGATGGATTTGTTCATCTATTTGACATGCACTTCTCAGATGTCTTGAGTGATGGATTTGTTCATCTATTTGACATGCACTTCTCAGATGTCTTGAGTGATGGATTTGTTCATCTATTTGACATGCACTTCTCAGATGTCTTGAGTGATGGATTTGTTCATCTATTTGACATGCACTTCTCAGATGTCTTGAGTGATGGATTTGTTCATCTATTTGACATGCACTTCTCAGATGTCTTAAGTGATGGATTTGTTCATCTATTTGACATGCACTTCTCAGATGTCTTGAGTGATGGATTTGTTCATCTATTTGCAGGTTTCAGCTACACCAAATATCCGTCTCTTTCTTGGTCTTCTTCTCGCCTTCCTCCCAGATTTTTTAATGCAGTCTGGTCTGGCTGCATTCTCACTAGATGGCTGAACCATTTTATTCTTTGTCTGTCAATATAATCCAGACAGGGTCTTATTGCAACTTTCTCTCTCATGCTGGTATTCGTAACCCTGCCTCGTCTAGTGTTGTTAGTGACCTGGTGCAGACAATGCATTTCACATGTAGTTATTTTCTGTTATAGTGCCCTATTCATTGTCCATGTTTGGCACTGATAACATAACATAGGGATGAAGATGCTATTAATCATCAGCTATTTTGCTGGAGGGGAGACATTTGTGTGTCTAAGCAGTGGGGCTAACTGGTAGTGGGGCTAACTGGTAGTGGGGCTAACTGGTAGTGGGGCTAACTGGTAGTGGGGCTAACTGGTAGTAGGGCTAACTGGTAGTGGGGCTAACTGGTAGTAGGGCTAACTGGTAGTGGGGCTAACTGGTAGTGGGGCTAACTGGTAGTGGGGCTAACTGGTAGTGGGGCTAACTGGTTGTGGGGCTAACTGGTAGTGGGGCTAACAGTTAGTGGAGCTAACTGGTAGGGGGCTAACTGGTTGTGGGGCTAACTGGTAGTGGGGCTAACTGGTTGTGGAGCTAACTGGTTGTGGGGCTAACTAGTAGTGGAGCTAACTGGTAGTGGGGCTAACTGGTAGTGGAGCTAACTGGTTGTGGGCTAACTAGTTGTGGGGCTAACTGGTAGTGGGGCTAACTGGTAGTGGGGCTAACTGGTAGTGGGGCTAACTGGTAGTGGGGCTAACTAGTAGTGGAGCTAACTGGTAGTGGGGCTAACTGGTAGTGGGGCTAACTAGTAGTGGGGCTAACTAGTTGTGGGGCTAACTAGTAGTGGGGCTAACTAGTAGTGGGGCTAACTGGTAGTGGGGCTAACTGGTAGTGGGGCTAACTGGTAGTGGAGCTAACTAGTTGTGGGGCTAACTAGTTGTGGAGCTAACTGGTAGTGGGGCTAACTGGTAGTGGGGCTAACTAGTTGTGGGGCTAACTGGTTGTGGGGCTAACTGGTTGTGGGGCTAACTGGTAGTGGAGCTAACTAGTTGTGGGGCTAACTGGTTGTGGGGCTAACTGGTAGTGGAGCTAACTAGTTGTGGGGCTAACTAGTTGTGGAGCTAACTGGTGGTGGGGCTAACTGGTAGTGGGGCTAACTGGTAGTGGGGCTAACTGGTAGTGGGGCTAACTGGTAGTGGGGTTAACTGGTAGTGGAGCTAACTGGTAGTGGGGCTAACTGGTAGTGGAGCTAACTGGTTGTGGAGCTAACTGGTAGTGGAGCTAACTGGTAGTGGGGCTAACTAGTTGTGGAGCTAACTGGTAGTGGAGCTAACTGGTAGTGGGGCTAACTAGTTGTGGAGCTAACTGGTAGTGGGGCTAACTGGTAGTGGGGCTAACTAGTTGTGGAGCTAACTGGTAGTGGAGCTAACTGGTAGTGGGGCTAACTAGTTGTGGAGCTAACTGGTAGTGGAGCTAACTGGTAGTGGAGCTAACTGGTAGTGGGGCTAACTGGTAGTGGAGCTAACTGGTTGTGGAGCTAACTGGTAGTGGAGCTAACTGGTAGTGGGGCTAACTAGTTGTGGAGCTAACTGGTAGTGGAGCTAAGTGGTAGTGGGGCTAACTAGTTGTGGAGCTAACTGGTAGTGGGGCTAACTGGTAGTGGGGCTAACTAGTAGTGGGGCTAACTAGTAGTGGGGCTAACTGGTAGTGGGGCTAACTGGTAGTGGAGCTAACTAGTTGTGGGGCTAACTGGTTGTGGAGCTAACTAGTTGTGGGGCTAACTAGTAGTGGAGCTAACTGCTAGTGGGGCTAAGTGGTAGTGGGGCTAACTGGTAGTGGGGCTAACTGGCTGTGGGGCTAACTGGTAGTGGAGCTAACTAGTAGTGGAGCTAACTGGTAGTGGGGCTAACTGGTAGTGGGGCTAACTGGTAGTGGGGCTAACTTGTAGTGGAGCTAACTGGTAGTGGGGCTAACTGGTAGTGGAGCTAACTGGTAGTGGAGCTAACTGATAGTGGGGCTAACTGGTAGTGGGGCTAAATGGTAGTGGAGCTAACTGGTAGTGGGGCTAACTGGTAGTGGGGCTAACTGGTAGTGGAGCTAACTGGTAGTGGGGCTAACTAGTAGTGGGGCTAACTGGTAGTGGAGCTAACTGGTAGTGGGGCTAACTGGTAGTGGGGCTAACTGGTAGTGGAGCTAACTGGTAGTGGGGCTAACTGGTAGTGGGGCTAACTGGTAGTGGAGCTAACTAGTTGTGGGGCTAACTGGTTGTGGAGCTAACTGGTAGTGGGGCTAACTGGTAGTGGGGCTAACTGGTAGTGGAGCTAACTGGTAGTGGGGCTAACTGGTAGTGGAGCTAACTAGTTGTGGGGCTAACTGGTAGTGGAGCTAACTGGTAGTGGGGTTAACTGGTAGTGGAGCTAACTGGTAGTGGGGCTAACTGGTAGTGGAGCTAACTGGTAGTGGAGCTAACTCGTAGTGGAGCTAACTGGTAGTGGAGCTAACTGGTAGTGGAGCTAACTGGTAGTGGGGCTAACTGGTAGTGGGGCTAACTGTTAATGGAGCTAACTGGTAGTGGAGCTAACTGGTAATGGAGCTAACTGTTAATGGAGCTAACTGGTAGTGGGGCTAACTGGTAATGGAGCTAACTGGTAATGGAGCTAACTGGTAATGGAGCTAACTGTTAATGGAGCTAACTGTTAATGGAGCTAACTGTTAGTGGGGCTAACTGGTAATGGAGCTAACTGGTAATGGAGCTAACTGGTAGGTGACAGCATTTGTCTTCTGTACTCTGGCTTCTATCTCTCTATTCTAACATTGACTGTAAAATAGTACATCTGTAACACAGTAACTTCTGATCTGATGCTGATTTCAATCTTGTCCAGGTTTTGTGCCTTTTGGATCATTTATTGTGAGTATCATTTATCTTTTCTAAAATTAATTATTACATTGCATGTTCTTTTTATTATAAAAAGTGTTATCCATTACATTGTCCATGTCCTTGATTACACTGTAGATGTCCTTGATTACACTGTAGATGTCCTTGATTACACTGTTGATGTTCTTGATTACACTGTAGATGTCCTTGATTACAATGTTGATGTTCTTGATTACACTGTAGATGTCCTTGATTACACTGTAGATGTCCTTGATTACAATGATGATGTCCTTGATTACACTGTAGATGTCCTTGATTACACTGTAGATGTCCTTGATTACAATGTAGATGTCCTTGATTACACTGTAGATGTCCTTGATTACAATGTTGATGTCTTGATTACACTGTAGATGTCCTTGATTACAATGTAGATGTCCTTGATTACGATGAAGATGTCCTTGATTACAATGTTGATGTCTTGATTACACTGTAGATGTCCTTGATTACAATGAAAAAGTCCTTTATTACAATGAAGATGTCCTTGATTACAATGTAGATGTCCTTGATTACACTGTAGATGTCCTTGATTACAATGTAGATGTCCTTGATTACACTGTTGATGTCCTTGATTACAATGTAGATGTCCTTGATTACACTGTTGATGTCTTGATTACACTGTAGATGTCCTTGATTACAATGTTGATGTCCTTGATTACAATGTAGATGTCCTTGATTACAATGTAGTTGTCCTTGATTACAATGTAGTTGTCCTTGATTACACTGTAGATGTCCTTGATTACACTTTTGATGTCTTGATTACACTGTAGATGTCCTTGATTACACTGTAGATGTCCTTGATTACACTTTTGATGTCTTGATTACACTGTAGATGTCCTTGATTACAATGTAGTTGTCCTTGATTACTCTGTAGATGTCCTTGATTATACTTTTGATGTCTTGATTACAATGTTGATGTCCTTGATTACACTGTAGATGTCCTTGATTACACTGTAGATGTCCTTGATTACAATGTAGATATCCTTGATTACACTGTAGATGTCCTTGATTACAATGTTGATGTCTTGATTACACTGTAGATGTCCTTGATTACAATGTAGATGTCCTTGATTACAATGTTGATGTCTTGATTACACTGTAGATGTCCTTGATTACAATGAAGATGTCCTTGATTACAATGTTGATGTCTTGATTACACTGTAGATGTCCTTGATTACACTGTAGATGTCCTTGATTACAATGTTGATGTCCTTGATTACACTGTAGATGTCCTTGATTACACTGTAGATGTCCTTGATTACAATGTAGATATCCTTGATTACACTGTAGATGTCCTTGATTACAATGTTGATGTCTTGATTACACTGTAGATGTCCTTGATTACAATGTAGATGTCCTTAATTACGATGAAGATGTCCTTGATTACAATGTTGATGTCTTGATTACACTGTAGATGTCCTTGATTACAATGAAGATGTCCTTGATTACAATGTTGATGTCTTGATTACACTGTAGATGTCCTTGATTACAATGAAAATGTCCTTGATTACAATGAAGATGTCCTTGATTACAATGTAGATGTCCTTGATTACACTGTAGATGTCCTTGATTACAATGTAGATGTCCTTGATTACACTGTTGATGTCCTTGATTACAATGTAGATGTCCTTGATTACACTGTTGATGTCTTGATTACACTGTAGATGTCCTTGATTACAATGTTGATATCCTTGATTACAATGTAGATGTCCTTGATTACAATGTAGTTGTCCTTGATTACAATGTAGTTGTCCTTGATTACACTGTAGATGTCCTTGATTACACTTTTGATGTATTGATTACACTGTAGATGTCCTTGATTACACTTTTGTTGTCTTGATTACACTAGATGTCCTTTATTACAATGTAGATGTCCTTGATTACACTGTTGATGTCTTGATTACACTGTAGATGTCCTTGATTACACTTTTGATGTCTTGATTACACTGTAGATGTCCTTGATTACAATGTAGATGTCCTTGATTACACTGTTGATGTCTTGAATACACTGTAGATGTCTTAATTACATTGTAGATGTTATTGATTACACTGTAGATGTCTTAATTACAATGAAGATGTCCTTGATTACACTGTAGATGTCCATAATTACACTGTAGATGTCTTGATTACACTGTAAATGTCCCTAATTACAATGAAGATGTCCTTGGTTACACTGTAGATGTCCTTAATTACACTGTAGATGTCTTGATTACACTGTAGATATCCTTAATTACACTGTAGATGTCCTTGATTACACTGTTGATGTCTTGATTACACTGTAGATGTCCTTGATTACACTTTTGATGTCTTGATTACACTGTAGATGTCCTTGATTACAATGTAGATGTCCTTGATTACACTGTTGATGTCTTGATTACACTGTAGATGTCTTAATTACATTGTAGATGTTATTGATTACACTGTAGATGTCTTAATTACAATGAAGATGTCCTTGATTACACTGTAGATGTCCATAATTACACTGTAGATGTCTTGATTACACTGTAAATGTCCCTAATTACAATGAAGATGTCCTTGGTTACACTGTAGATGTCCTTAATTACACTGTAGATGTCTTGATTACACTGTAGATATCCTTAATTACACTGTAGATGTCCTTGATTACACTGTTGATGTCTTGATTACACTGTAGATGTCCTTGATTACACTTTTGATGTCTTGATTACACTGTAGATGTCCTTGATTACAATGTAGATGTCCTTGATTACACTGTTGATGTCTTGATTACACTGTAGATGTCTTAATTACATTGAAGATGTTATTGATTACACTGTAGATGTCTTAATTACAATGAAGATGTCCTTGATTACACTGTAGATGTCCATAATTACACTGTAGATGTCTTGATTACACTGTAAATGTCCCTAATTACAATGAAGATGTCCTTGGTTACACTGTAGATGTCCTTAATTACACTGTAGATGTCTTGATTACACTGTAGATATCCTTAATTACACTGTAGATATCTTGATTACACTGTAGATGTCCATGGTTACATTGCGGATGTCCATGATTACAATGTAGATGTCCTTGGTTACATTGTGGATGTCATTGGTTACACTGTAGATGTCCCTGGTTACATTGTGTATGTCTATGGTTATATTGTGGATGTCCTTGATTACGCTGTAGATGTCCATGGTTACACTGTAGATGTCCATGGTTACACTTTAGATGTCCATGGTTACACTGTAGATGTCCATGATTACGCTGTAGATGTCCATGATTATGCTGTAGATGTCCATGGTTACACTGTAGATGTCTATGGTTACATTGTGGATGTCCTTTTTTACACTGTAGATGTCATTGATTCCAATGTAGATGTCCTTGGTTACACTGTAGATGTAATTGATTACATTGTAGATGTCACTGATTACACTGTTAATTCTCAGATATCAGAGTTGTCTGCCCTGATGATTTATTGTGTGGCTGATTACTACAGCTGTTTGTTTTTCAAGTTATTTAGCTGATTGCTTATTGTCATGCAAGATTTACCAATTTTTTATGTGAGATTTACCATAGTTTTCATGCAGGATCTCAATAAATCAATCCCCTCAAGCCTAGAGGCACATAAGGCAGAGACAAACTGTTGCTACTTAATTTGATCCTCAGCCATCCTTTCTATCTCCAGTTTTGTCCTTTGCGTAGCCTTGAGTTCAATGCCTCCAAGTACCTCTGGGCCTACCTCTTTCCTCACTGTCCTTCTGGTGTCCATTTCATTGCCTGTCTCGGTGATCTCTCTTTTGGAGGTGTCCAATCCATTTTCATCTTCGTTTTTTGATTTCTAAATTTACATCTTCTAAGTCTGTCATTTGTTGTAATCTAGAATTTCTGATTTTATCTTCCCATGTAAACACCACCAATCTTCTGAGAAGTCTTCCCTCAAAACCTCTGAGCATGCTCTCTATCTTTCTGTCTGTTTTCCAACTTTCTGCTCCATAGAGGAGAACTGTCCTAACGCATGTTTTGTAGATCCTGAGTTTAGTTTCAGTGCTGTAGATGTTTGATCTCCAGACACTCTGAAGTCTGCTGTAAGCAGCATTTGCCTTTGCTATTCTCTGCTTGATTTCAACCACAACATTCCCATTCAAGAAGTTACTACTTCCCGGGTGAGTGAAGTCAGTTACAGATTTTAAACCTACACTTTCTGTTACTATATGATTTTCACTTTTGGGGTTTATCTCCAGCATTGTTTTAATGACATTGATTCTTAACCCTGACTGTTTGACTATTTCTGTAATCTTATCTGTCTTTTGTTGTAGATGTTATTTAGTTTGGCTGATGACACAGATACAATCTGCAATGTTGAAATGTTCCAGGTGTTTAAGAAAGTTCTCCTGAAGGTCCATCTGTGTGCCTGTGGTTGCTTTCTTTGTAACATAATATATCACTATGAGAAACAAGGAAGATGACATAATGCACCCTAGTTGGACTGCTGATGTTACCCTGAAGTGTTCTGTTTCCATGAGTCCTTATTTCACTTTGTATTGGCATCCATCATAGAGTTCTTTAAATATGTCTAGAACTTTATCTGGTCATCCATACACAGCAAGGATTCCCCACATCACTGTTCATCTAGACTGTCAAAGGCCTTTTCAAAGTCTGTAAAGTTTATATATAATGTGGCATTCATTTCTAAAGCTCGTTCCACAATATTTCTGAGAGTGAAAATCTGATCACAGCAGTTTCTTCATTTTCTGAATCCTGCCTGATCTTCCAACAACATTCTGTCTTTTGCCATCATCATTCTGTTGTATATCAGCCTACAGAGCATGGAGGATTTACCACAGTTTTTCATGTGAGATTTGCCAGTTTTCACGTGATATTTACCACATTTTTTTCCCCTTAGAGATTAAACACTGTTGTCGAGTGAGATTTACCACAGTTTTTACTGTGTGATTCAACACAGTTGTCATGTGAGATATCATAATTTTTCATACAAAATTTGCCATAGTTTTTCATGTTAGATTTACCATAGTTTTTCATGTTAGATTTACCATAGATTTTCATGTGATTTAGAAACAGAATTCACAGAATGTTTAAGATTGCAATCAGTCATGATGATGAGGATGATGATCAGTAAATAAATATATCTGATCGTGTGACAATCTTGTAACACCTAAACATATTTATTTTGCCAAAGTAGAACTGAAATATTTATGTGTGTGCTAAAGTAGAACTGATATATTTATGTGTGTGCTAAAGTAGAACTGATATATTTATGTGTGTGCTAAAGTAGAACTGATATATTTATGTGTGTGCTAAAGTAGAACTGATATATTTATGTGTGTGCTAAAGTAGAACTGATATATTTATGTGTGTGCTAAAGTAGAACTGATATATTTATGTGTGTGCTAAAGTAGAACTGATATATTTATGTGTGTGCTAAAGTAGAACTGATATATCTATGTGTGTGCTAAAGTAGAACTGATATATTTATGTGTGTGCTAAAGTAGAACTGATATATTTATGTGTGTGCTAAAGTAGAACTGATATATTTATGTGTGTGCTAAAGTAGAACTGATATATTTATGTGTGTGCTAAAGTAGAACTGATATATGTATGTGTGTGCTAAAGTAGAACTGATATATTTATGTGTGTGCTAAGGTAGAACTGATATATTTATGTGTGTGCTAAAGTAGAACTGATTAATACCCAAACATATTTATTTTGCTAAAGAAGGTTCAGTTTGATCAACATGAACTCATACAGAGACAGTCTGGCTGGCTTTTCTCTTCACTTCAAGAAATCATACAATTCACTGTCACATTCACATTAAATTCTGGAAGACCTAGACTTCGCCGACGACATAGCACTCCTGAGTTCAGAACACACAAACGCCCAAGAAAAAAATCAATCGACTCCAGAATTTCTCAGAACAAATTGGACTCCAAATTAACACCGCAAAAACAAAAATTCTAGACCTTACCAACAGTTCAGTTGGTATCACGCTGAACAACAACAGCCTCGAAAAAGTCAACAGTTTCACATATCTAGGGAGCAAGATGTCATCTACAGGAGATACCGCACCAGAAATACCATTTAGAATAGCACTGGCTTCAATAAACTGTTCAACATCTGGAAATCAAAGACACTTAGCAAACACACAAAACTCAAGATCTTCAATTCTTGTGTGATTCCAGTACTAACCTATGGATGCGAGAGCTGGAAATCAACGAAAACTCTAGACACAAAATTAGACAGTTTTGAAAATAAATGCCTTAGAAGAATACTAAATTTCAAATGGTCAGATTTCCGAACCAATACACAAATAAGGCAAGAATCCAGGCAAGAGTATGTGTCTAATTTTATACAAAAACGCCGCTGGAACTATGTCGGCCACGCCCTTAGAATGGATAAATCAAGACTTCCTTACCAAGCCCTCATTTGGACACCACAGGGGAAAAGATCTTGTGGAAGACCAAGGGAAACTCTACGTAGAACTATCATCAGGGAAGGCTCGCTCATGGGCCACTCAAACATCCAAGACCTACAACAGATTGCAACGAACCGCCATGCATGGAGAGTCATGACCTCTGCCCTATGTGCCGCACTCGACACAAGAGGAAAGACTAACTAACTGTCACATTTGTGGTTTTCCTATAGCATACTTTGTTGAGATTAGAACAACATTCACAGTGGCAGAGACAGCCTTAGGATCATGCAGAAGATACTTCTGGCCAATAGAAGGGGCTACAAGGGGCTCTAAACAAAGTTTTAGCAATCACCAGGAGAGATGCTTTTCCTACCAAAGTATTCTTTCGTCATTTGGACATCCTCCGCTCTGATCCGGACACCAAGATTATCTTTAGTGAGAAACCTAGATTAGTTTACAGACGAGATCGAAACCTTAAAGACATACTTGTCCGAAGCCGACTCCCACCGATCCACACAGCACTTCCTTTTGGGACTACTCAGTGCTCACGTAGCACCTGCAAGACATGTCCTTTCGTTGTCCAGACTTCTTCGGTCAGTTTCCCTAATGATTCTTTTAAAATTAGGGAACCTTTTACTTGCGAATCCCGCAACGTAATTTATGCTATTATCTGCAAACGATGCAGCAAGGCATACATTGGGGAGACTGGCAGGAAGCTAGCTGATCGTTTCCGGGAACACCTCTCCGATATCGACAAGAAGACACTCAAACCAATCCCTCTTCATTTTAATAGCCCTGACCACAGCGGTAAAGATGACATATCTGTCACAGCATTAAAATCTTGCTCTGGCGATCATACTACCCGCCTCGCTTTGGAAAACCGCCTTATCCACAGCCTTGGCGATCTTAGTCCAAGAGGTTTCAATATCCAACATACCTTCATCTAAATAGTTCTAATCTTATCACATTTTAAATGTTAATTATTTTATTTTATTTCATATTATTACCTTATTCTATTTCTTATCAGTATCATTCATGTATCATTAACACTTGCATTTCTTTTATTCCCAGTATTGTGACTATATTTTTTAGCCATCGTTTATTTTATTTTATTTCATTTATTCTGCATCACATTTTTTTAAACGTCGCTCACGTCACCCCTTAGAGATCTACATACTCTCCATTCCTCGTTTGTGTCTTTCACTTGTGTTTGAAAAAGGCTGCCTGGCCGAAACGTTACGTTGTGTTGTTTTGTGCACGTTTTCCTCTTTCCTATTTTGTTGAGCTTTTTAGTCAAATTTCTCTGGAATTCATTCTGGCCAATAGAAAGATGTTGCTTGTAGTGAGAAAATAGTGTTAAAATACTGTATTGTTCCTGGGTTTACTATATGTCTGTGAGACACAGACTGTAAGCACACAAGCTAAAGAACATGAAGCAGATTTTTAAAAAATTTTCTCAAACAAGAATGCACAATAATATTATGGAATGATAGAAACTAAAATGGAGCTGTTCAACTTGAAACAGAAGAAGAACATATACTGTTTAGGGAAATTAGATGTAGACTCCACATATGCAGGGGTGGGGGAGGGTAGGGGAGGGAGTGGGGGGGGGAGGGTGGGGGGGGGAGAGTAGGGAGAGGGTCAGGGAGAGTGGGGGAGAGTAGAGGGGAGGGTCAGGGAGAGTGGAGGGGAGAGTGGGGAGAGGGTCGGGGAGAGTGAGGGAGAGTGGGGGAGAGTGGAGGGGAGAGGGTCAGGGAGAGTGGGGGGAGAGGATCGGGGAGAGTGGGGGGGAGAGGGTCAGGGAGAGTGGGGGGGAGAGTGGGGTAGAGGGTCGGGGAGAGTGGAGGGGGGAGTGGGGAGAGGGTCGGGGAGAGTGGAGGGGAGAGTGGGGAGAGCTGGAGGGGTGAGTGGGTAGAGGGTCGGGGAGGGGGGAGTGGGGAGAGTGGAGGGGAGAGGGTCTGGGAGAGTGGGGGGAGAGTGGAGGGGAGAGTGGGGGGGGGGAAGAGTGGTGGGAGAGAAGCATGTCATACAGGGTGACTAATGAGGTAGTTTATTTTGCTGAGAGACATGAAACCATTAGTCTGCACACAAGCCAGATTTGTACAATGGATGTACCTGCAAAACTCAAGTTCTCAAACAAAACTCAAGTTCTCAAACAAAACTAAAGTTCTCAAACAAAACTAAAGTTCAGAAGTGGAAAAACAACAATAACTTTCCACCAAAGTTTACAGCTGGTGAATGATGAGAAAAAAGAGAAGAATGAGAAGAAGAAGAAGAAGAAGAAAAAGAAGAAGAAGAAGAAGAAGAAGAAGAAGAAGGAGAAGAAAAAGACTAAGAAGAAGAAGAAGAAGAAGAAGAAAGAGAAGAAGAAGAAGAAAAAGAAGAAGAAGAAGAAAAATAAAAAGAAAAGAAAAAGAAAAAGAAGAAGAAGAAGAAGAAGAAGAAGAAGAAGAAGAAGAAGAAGAAGAAGAAGAAGAAGAAGAAAAAGAAGAAGAAGAGTTGGATTATCTTCACAGCACTCCGGACACATCCGTAGGTGCTCAGATTTTCCTCTTAACATATTCATCAGCGTCGTACGGTTAATAGTGTCAGTCTTAAGCTGGTTGATGAGACTTCTTGTGCATCCCGTGTGCTTCTCATTCTTGGTTGTGCCGATCTTTACTCCCAATTCTTGTTATCTTAGCAGTGATATGGACATGTTGCTATCAAAATCCTTGGAACATCCTCTCTCTCTAAGGGCATTGACAACGTCTGCATGATCCATGGGCCAGCCATCTTCAATTAATGCAGCACCTGCCAGTCTATCAGCTATTTCATTACTAACAACACCTGTATACCTTAGGACAAATATAAAGGTAACTGCACACACAGGAGAGTTTTGCAATGATTCAATCCACTGTCTGCATAACCAGCCTGCTTTGACCCACCAGATCATGCTCAAAGAATCACTCAACACACACATGTAGGAATAGTCCTGTGATTCTAGCTGCATGAAAGCGTGTGTCACCTCCATCCTCATGCCGCTGGTAGTCATAGAGAAAGTACCACTGGCTTCTTGAACTCTTCTGTCTGATGAGCAAGCTGTGAATGCTGTATAACGGACCCATCTGTGAAGATCACCACATCTGTCTCATCTGACTTGTCACTGATAAGTGCGCATACCTCGGCATTGACAGCAGCGGGATTCTGCTCTAAACTCCTTTCAAACTTCACGACACAGGAGAATGTGAGATTTGGCGCTTTAGACACTAGTATCCATTCCTCACCTGGATGTATAACTGTCAGGGTGCAGACCTGCAGGATATCATCCTCTGCCCTACCCAGTCCTGATTTTCCACTTTTAAGCCTATTGCCATTTTTCTTGAAGAGTATGTGGTGCAAAGGGCCTATTTTGGGGTTTGTAGAGAATCAAAAGATGTAGACAACTTGTGCACAAGTACACCTGGGGAGGTGACTGACTACCTTGCTTGATACAGGATGTCCTGTGTCAGCTAGTTGCAGATTTGTAGTAGTCACGTCCTATTTGTGTATCTACAGGGGCTGACAGATTTGAGAAGAAATAACTGTAACTTTGATTTTACAAGAAAAAACCCGTAACTTTAGTTTACCAAGATTGGTAAAAAAAAAAAATAACTGTGGTTTTACCTCGGGAATGTATGGGCATGTGATAATGGGTGACATTTGCTTCCAGGTGGTTGGACTGTTGCTTCCAAACCCCAGTCTAAAACAGATTGTTTTCTGGCAGTGGCTGAACCAAAGTCACAACGCTTGTGTCAACTACGCCAACAGGAATGCCACAAAGGTAGACAGTTTGTGTTTCTTTTTTATATATCTCTGATACTTGATGGCTGTGATAGCTTGATACATAGAGTGTGTGATATTTGTGATACATAGGGTGTGTGATATTTGTGATACATAGAGTGTGTGATATTTGTGATACATAGAGTGTGTGATATTTGTGATACATAGAGTGTGTGATATTTGTGATACATAGAGTGTGTGATATTTGTGATACATAGAGTGTGTGATATTTGTGATACATAGAGTGTGTGATATTTGTGATACATAGAGTGTGTGATATTTGTGATACATAGAGTGTGTGATATTTGTGATACATAGAGTGTGTGATATTTGTGATACATAGAGTGTGTGATATTTGTGATACATAGAGTGTGTGATATTTGTGATACATAGAGTGTGTGATATTTGTGATACATAGAGTGTGTGATATTTGTGATACATAGAGTGTGTGATATTTGTGATACATAGAGATTATAATATCTGTGATACCCAGAGTGTGTGATATCTGTGCTTATATAAAGAGTGTAATATATGTGATACACAGAGAGTGTGGTATCTGTAATACACAGAGAGTGTAATATATGTGATACATAGAGAGTGTGATTTCTGTGATACATATAAAGTGTGGTATCTGTGATACACAGAGAGGGTGCTATCTGTGATGCACAGAGAGTGTGGTATCTGTAATACACAGAGAGTGTAATATATGTGATACATAGAGAGTATGATACATAGAGAGTGTGATATATGTGATACATAGAGAGTGTGATATCTGTTATAAATAAAGAGTGTTGTGTATGTGATACATAGAGAGTGTTGTATATGTAAGGTGAACTGAGATGTTGTATATGTGAGGTGACCTGAGATGTTGAATGTGTCAGGTGACCTAGGTCTAGTTATAGTTTGACTTGGATGATTTCTGATAGAACTATGATGTTTCCTGTTGTCTCCCCAGCCGACCCTGGTCAAACGATTTGTTCTTGGTTATGTTGGTGCTGTCACAACAGCAGTCTCTATAGCAGTAAGTATGTCCTTTCAGGGGAAGGGGGGGGGGGGAAGGGGGTATATGGTGTAATTTCTTTATCTGTTCCATCATGTTGGAATTTTATTATGCATTTCAACATTTGTGATTCTGTTCTGTTGAAATTGTATTTTCTGTTTGTCTGTTTCAACTTTTAGATTATTATCTGTTTAAACCTGCCTTTATTGTTATCTGTTTTAATTTATAGCAGATTATCTGCTTTGTTCAGCTCCTCATCACACTAAACACTTGTTTGGTAGCTGAACCAGGACGCGCTTAGTTACTTGGTATGCTGTGAAGTTGTCAAGTCTTGGGCCTTCAGTGACTCCATCGGTCCATCTTCTTCTAGGTCTCTCCCTGCCTCTTGTGTTTCCATTCTCATCTTATAAGCTCTTACTGTGTGCATCTTGAGATTCATTCTAACTATGTGGCTAAACTACGTTGACCACATCACCCACTGGTCTATGAAACATCGGTCTAGCCGTCTGGTCCCAAAACTCCTGAAGGCGTGGGTAAGGTTACTTTGCTTTTACTTATTGATGTGACAAAACAAATACGCCATGGAAATAATACATAATATTGAATCACAATGAGATGCATTACACCTGGACCAGACAACTTTACATTGGAAGAAGTTGTGTTGATTTGAGTTACAAAAATTTGCAATGAAAATTATAATACTGGGTGCACTTCTAATCACCTGTTAGAATCCATAATTTATTGCTCGTCCAAAAAAAAAAAACTAAGCTTCACCAGAGGGCTGGTCAAAAATCAAACAGATCACTAAAAACTATACCTTAAAAACTGTCTCCTGCAACAAAGACTAGATGGTCAAAGACTTCACAATGTAAAGTTAAGAGAAGAGTTCCAGCTTGAATTGAAAAACATATTTGAAGTACTTGAAGTAGAGGGAGATCAGAGTATTGAAGGAAAACTGGAATAATGTAAAGATCACAATTTTAGAAGCAGAAACAATTATGTGCAGGACTAAAGAAGCATGTTAGAAAACCCTGAATAAAGTGATGACACATGGTAATGTATTCAGGAAAGAAAGGCAGTAAAGCTTTCTAAAAGTAATGCTAGAACAGTGGAACAAGAAATCAGGGCTAAAGGCAATTAAAGGTAAACAGATTTAAAGTTGAGCAGGGCAAGATAAGAACACACAATTTAAAGTTGAGCAGGGCAAGATAAGAACACACAATTTAAAGTTGAGCAGGGCAAGATAAGAACACACAATTTAAAGTTGAGCAGGGCAAGATAAGAACACACAATTTAAAGTTGAGCAGGGCAAGATAAGAACACACAATTGAAAGTTGAGCAGGGCAAGATAAGAACACACAATTGAAAGTTGAGCAGGGCAAGATAAGAACACACAATTGAAAGTTGAGCAGGGCAAGATAAGAACACACAATTGAAAGTTGAGCAGGGCAAGATAAGAACACACAATTGAAAGTTGAGCAGGGCAAGATAAGAACACACAATTGAAAGTTGAGCAGGGCAAGATAAGAACACACAATTGAAAGTTGAGCAGGGCAAGATAAGAACACACAATTGAAAGTTGAGCAGGGCAAGATAAGAACACACAATTGAAAGTTGAGCAGGGCAAGATAAGAACACACAATTGAAAGTTGAGCAGGGCAAGATAAGAACACACAATTGAAAGTTGAGCAGGGCAAGATAAGAACACACAATTGAAAGTTGAGCAGGGCAAGATAAGAACACACAATTGAAAGTTGAGCAGGGCAAGATAAGAACACACAATTGAAAGTTGAGCAGGGCAAGATAAGAACACACAATTGAAAGTTGAGCAGGGCAAGATAAGAACACACAATTGAAAGTTGAGCAGGGCAAGATAAGAACACACAATTTAAAGTTGAGCAGGGCAAGATAAGAACACACAATTGAACATTGTCAGTTTTGCAGATGATATTGTTCTGCTAAGTCAAAACAACAATGAAGGAAAACACATCAAAAGTTGGATTGCACATAAACAACAGTTTAAGCAAATGTAACACTAGACACAAACAACAGATGAAGCAAATGTAACACTAGAGACAAATAACAGATGAAGCAAATGTAACACTAGACACAAACAACAGATGAAGCAAATGTAACACTAGAGACAAATAACAGATGAAGCAAATGTAACACTAGACACAAACAACAGATGAAGCAAATATAACACTAGACACAAACAACAGATCAAGCAGATGTTACACTAGACACAAACAACAGATCAAGCAAATGTAACACTAGAGACAAATAACAGATGAAGCAAATGTAACACTAGACACAAACAACAGATGAAGCAAATATAACACTAGACACAAACAACAGATCAAGCAGATGTTACACTAGACACAAACAACAGATGAAGCAAATATAACACTAGACACAAACAACAGATCAAGCAGATGTTACACTAGACACAAACAACAGATCGAGCAAATGTAACACTAGAGACAAACAACAGATGAAGCAAATGTAACACTAGACACAAACAACAGATGAAGCAAATGTAACACTAGACACAAACAACAGATGAAGCAAATATAACACTAGACACAAACAACAGATCAAGCAGATGTTACACTAGACACAAACAACAGATCGAGCAAATGTAACACTAGAGACAAACAACAGATGAAGCAAATGTAACACTAGACACAAACAACAGATTAAGCAAATGTAACACTAGACACAAACAACAGATGAAGCAAATGTAACACTAGACATAAACAACAGATGAAGCAAATGTAACACTAGACACAAACAACAGATGAAGCAAATGTAACACTAGACACCAACAACAGATGAAGCAAATGTAACACTAGACACCAACAACAGATGAAGCAAATGTAACACTAGACACCAACAACAGATGAAGCAAATGTAACACTAGACACCAACAACATATGAAGCAAATGTAACACTAGACAACAACAACAGATCAGGCAAATGTAACACTAGACACCAACAACAGATGAAGCAAATGTAACAGTAGACACCAACAACAGATCAGGCAAATGTAACAATAGACACCAACAACAGATCAAGCAAATGTAACACTAGACACCAACAACAGATGAAGCAAATGTAACACTAGACACCAACAACAGATGAAGCAGATGTAACACTAGACACCAACAACAGATCAAGCAAATGTAACACTAGACACCAACAACAGATCAAGCAGATGTAACACTAGATACCAACAACAAATCACGCAAATGTAACACTAGACACAAACAACAGATCACGCAAATGTAACACTAGACACCGACAACAGATAAAGCAAATGTAACACTAGACACCAACAACAGATCAAGCAAATGTAACACTAGACACAAACAACAGATCAAGCAAATGCAACACTAGACACCAACAACAGATCAAGCAAATGTAACACTAGACACCAACAACAGATCAAGCAAATGTAACACTAGACACCAACAACAGATCAAGCAGATGTAACACTAGACACCAACAACAGATGAAGCAAATGTAACACTAGACACCAACAACAGATGAAGCAAATGTAACACTAGACACCAACAACAGATCAAGCAAATGTAACACTAGACACCAACAACAGATCAAGCAAATGTAACACTAGACACCAACAACAGATCAAGCAAATGTTACACTAGACACCAACAACAGATGAAGCAAATGTAACACTAGACACCAACAACAGATGAAGCAAATGTAACACTAGACACCAACAACAGATGAAGCAAATGTAACACTAGACACCAACAACAGATCACGCAAATGTAACATTAGACACAAACAACAGATCAAGCAAATGTAACACTAGACACCGACAACAGATCAAGCAAATGTAACACTAGACACCAACAACAGATGAAGCAAATGTAACACTAGACACCAACAACAGATGAAGCAAATGTAACACTAGACACCAACAACAGATGAAGCAAATGTAACACTAGACACCAACAACAGATCAGGCAAATGTAACACTAGACACCAACAACAGATCAAGCAAATGTAACACTAGACACCAACAACAGATGAAGCAAATGTAACACTAGACACCAACAACAGATCAAGCAAATGTAACACTAGACACCAACAACAGATCAAGCAAATGTAACACTAGACACAAACAACAGATCAAGCAAATGTAACACTAGACACCGACAACAGATCAAGCAAATGTAACACTAGACACCAACAACAGATCAGGCAAATGTAACACTAGACACCAACAACAGATCAAGCAAATGTAACACTAGACACCAACAACAGATCACGCAAATGTAACACTAGACACAAACAACAGATCAAGCAAATGTAACACTAGACACTAACAACAGATCACGCAAATGTAACACTAGACACCAACAACAGATCACGCAAATGTAACACTAGACACCAACAACAGATCAAGCAAATGTAACACTAGACACCAACAACAAATCAAGCAGATGTAACACTAGACACCAACAACAGATCAAGCAAATGTAACACTAGACACCAACAACAGATGAAGCAAATGTAACACTAGACACCAACAACAGATCAAGCAGATGTAACACTAGACACCAACAACAACAGATCAAGCAAATGTAACTCTAGACACAAACAACAGATCAAGCAGATGTAACACTAGAGACCAACAACAGATCAAGCAAATGTTACACTAGAGACCAACAACAGATGAAGCAAATGTTACACTAGACACAAAAAACATTTCAGGCAGATGTAACACTAGACACCAACAACAACAGATCAAGCAAATGTATCACTAGACACAAACAACAGATCAAGCAAATGTAACACTAGAGACCAACAACAGATCAGGCAAATGTAACTCTAGACACAAACAACAGATCAAGCAAATGTAACACTAGAGACTAACAACAGATCAAACAAATGTCACATTAGACACAAACAACAGATCAGGCAAATGTTACACTAGAGACCAACAACAGATCAAGCAAATGTAAAACTAGAGACAAATAACAGATCAAGCAAATGTAAAACTAGAGACAAACAACAGATCAAGCAAATGTTACACTAGACACCAACAACAGATCAAGCAAATGTAACACTAGACACCAACAACAGATCAAGCAAATGTAACACTAGACACCAACAACAGATCACGCAAATGTAACACTAGACACAAACAACAGATGAAGCAAATGTAACACTAGACACTAACAACAGATCAAGCAAATGTAACACTAGACACCAACAACAGATCACGCAAATGTAACACTAGACACAAACAACAGATGAAGCAAATGTAACACTAGACACTAACAACAGATCACGCAAATGTAACACTAGACACCAACAACAGATCACGCAAATGTAACACTAAACACCAACAACAGATCAAGCAAATGTAACACTAGACACCAACAACAGATGAAGCAAATGTAACACTAGACACCAACAACAGATCAAGCAGATGTAACACTAGACACCAACAACAACAGATCAAGCAAATGTAACTCTAGACACAAACAACAGATCAAGCAGATGTAACACTAGAGACAAACAACAGATCAAGCAAATGTTACACTAGAGACCAACAACAGATGAAGCAGATGTAACACTAGACACAAACAACAGATCAGGCAGATGTAACACTAGACACAAACAACAGATCAGGCAGATGTAACACTAGACACAAACAACAGATCAAGCAAATGTTACACTAGACACAAACAACAGATCAGGCAGATGTAACACTAGAGACCAACAACAGATCAAGCAAATGTTACACTAGAGACCAACAACAGATGAAGCAGATGTAACACTAGACACAAACAACAGATCAGGCAGATGTAACACTAGACACCAACAACAGATGAAGCAAATGTAACACTAGACACAAACAACAGATCAGGCAGATGTAACACTAGACATCAACAACAACAGATCAAGCAAATGTATCACTAGACACAAACAACAGATCAAGCAAATGTAAAACTAGAGACCAACAACAGATCAGGCAAATGTAACTCTAGACACAAACAACAGATCAAGCAAATGTAACACTAGAGACCAACCACAGATCAAGCAAATGTTACACTAGACACAAACAACAGATCAGGCAAATGTTACACTAGAGACCAACAAAAGATCAAGCAAATGTAAAACTAGAGACAAATAACAGATCAAGCAAATGTAAAACTAGAGACAAACAACAGATCAAGCAAATGTTACACTAGACACAAAAGTAATTGCAGAAAATTAGCAGTTTACTTATTTATGTAGTAATTTTATTATCGAGGAAACTGAAGGAAAGAAATTAGGATACACAATAGCAAGAAATCAGCAGTTTTGAAAGCTTTAACAAAATTTGGTACTCTGAGTTATATAGTTCAAAACCAAGTTTTTATTTTCAATGTTATTTCAGTTTTAGCATATGTCAGTGAAAGTTGAAGAACCATTAAAGATATTCAATGAAAGTTAAATACATTTTATAACAATTGCCTGAAGGAAAGGATGAGCATAAAATGGGATGAATTCAAGAGGAGCGAGGAAATAAGAGAAATGTCTGGGCAACCATTAGTGTCAGAACAGAGACAGAGACAGAGAAGATAGTGCTAACTTGGACACATAGTGAGAAAAGTCAAACAGAGAATCACCAAAGAGACTCAAAATGGTAAATAGACGAACTGAGGAAATGAGGACATTCTGGAAAAACCCTAATGTGAAGGTTGAGGAGAGAGACTAAAGCTGCTGAACTGGATTCCATCCATGATGTTGAACTGATTGCACAGGATCGAAGGCAATGAAGGAATAGACTACAAGCCCCATATCACATACAATGGCACAACAGGACAGTCAAGGCAATGAAGGAAAGCTGGCACTTTCAGCTGTCAAGACTAGCACACAAGAAGTCTTCTGAGTCACATGACGAAAGCTACTTCTTCTTCTTCTTCTCTTCCACCTTGTACCTCATCAAAGTGTTGAGGGGAGATGTAATGTTCGTTGATGAGCTCTGTCAAGAGCACTATTAAGACTGATTTTCGTTTCTGTAAGGCTGTTCTTAATGCCATCAATCCATATTTTACGAGGTTTTCCTCTCATTCTATACCCGTTGTAACGTTTTACTGTGGCTTGCTGTGGCAGATAGTACCAGGGACAAAAGCTACTGCTGAGAATAATTGTGAGAAGAATAAGGAACACTGTTAAACCAGAAATTAGTGAAGAACCAGGTAGATTATCAAAGGAAGGAAAGAGAACAAACAGCGCCATGTATCTGTGAATCTATTTTTGTGGCCAGGTACCGTTTTTAGCTGTGCTTTTTTTTGTCTGGCAGGTGGGACTCAGTGTTGTCATCAAGCGAGCCAGCCACTTCGGAGATAAAACCAAACTGCTGATTCAGAGATTTGTCCCCTTCCCAGCTGTGGGTGAGTTCACAATTTGTCCCCTTCCCAGCTGTGGGTGAGTTCACAAGTGGTTTCCTTCCCAGCTGTGGGCGAGTTCACAAGTGGTTTCCTTCACAGCTGTGAATGAGTTCACAAGTGGTTTCCTTCACAGCTGTGAATGAGTTCACAAGTTATCCCTTTTCTAACAGTGGGTGAGTTCACAAGTTTTCCCTTTTCTAACAGTGGGTGAGTTGACAAGTGGTTTCCTTTCCAGCTGTGGGTGAGTTCATATCTAATTTGTTTCCCTCCCATCTTTTTTTTTTTTCTTGTGGGTTTCAAATGACAAAGCACAATGTGTAGGTGACCATCAGTGCCTTGGGGGCCATGCTTGTTTTGCTGCTTGAGTGTGTTGTCCAATACAGAAGTGGCAGTCTGTCACATACTCCACATACAAACATTGATATGCCTTCATTCTGAGGCTGGTTTTCTCTCAAGCATCTTTCTATAGCTTGCTGCCTTTGGCCTCTAGCAATTTGCAACAGTCTGTCTGTTACTGTCTGCCTCCACAGAGTCGGTCTGTCACTCTCTGCCTCCACAGAGTTGATCTGCAGCTGATCTTTCACGAGTGTCTGTGCCAATGTTGGTATCTTTCAGTCATGGTTGCATCTGTCATTATAACGTAATTTTGGCCTTCCTGCAGATCTGATCACTGTTGCCAGTTCACAATACATGAGATCCTTTTGAATGACATGTCCCCACCACTGCAGGTGTCTTTGCTTCAGTAGAAAGTACATTGTTGGCCTTCCTGCTATTATGAGTACACATTCATCTGGCACAAAATCTGGCCATGATATACCAAGAATGTGTCTGAAACCTCTCCAGGGCACAGGCATGGGCGTGTTGAACTGGAGTACAGGCTATTGCCCAGGCAGCAGGCAGCCCCTCTCTGCATCACTGCTGATACCAAGGGAAGGGCACATTCCAGTACAGCAATTGCTGAGCAGCAGCGTACAAACGAAGATTGCTTAGAATATTCTCTATTTGGTAAATACTGCCTTTACTTGAGCTATTCTACATTTAACTTCTTTAAAATGTCTTTAAATGTGCTGTTATCTGGGTACCCATTTACTTATATCAATTTGCTTGTCCAATTTACTTTGATGCTGCATTTTTGAGGGTCTGAAATATCTGTGGCTGTCTGTAACATCCTGTTGTTTGACTGTTGTATTGAATCAATCCTCATCCTGCCTAGAGGCACATAAGGCAGAGACAGACTGTCACCACTCAGTTTGATCCTCAGCCATCCTCTCTATCTTCAGTTTTGTCTTACACCTAGCCTTGAGTTCAGCCTCAAAGGTTCACCTCCATGTGCCTCTGGGCCTGTCTCTCTCGCTGTCCTTGTGGTGTCCATTGCATTGCCTGTCCCGGCCATTTTTCTTTCTTCATTCTGAGAATGTGTCCAGTCCACTTCTATCTTCATTTTTTTATTTCAAAATTTACATCTTCTAAGTCTGTCATGTGTTGTAATCTAGAATTGCTGATTTCCCCTTCCCATGTGAACACCAACAATCTTCTGAAAAGTCTTCCCTCAAAACCTGAGCATACTCTCTATCTTTCTGTCTGTTTCCCAAATTTCTGCTCCATAGAGGAGAACTGTCCTAACGCATGTTTTGTAGATCCTGAGTTTAGTTTTAGTACTGCAGATGTTTGATCTCCAGACACTCTGAAGTCTGCTGTAAGCAGCATTTGCCTTTGCTATTCTCTGCTTGATTTCAACCACAACATTCCCATTCAAGAAGATATTGCTTTCCAGGTGAGTGAAGTCAGTTACAGATTTTAAACCTACACTTTCTGTTACTATATGAATTTTACTTGTGGGGTTTATCTCCAGCATTGTTTTACTGACATTGATTCTTAACCCTGACTGTTTGGCTGTTTCTGTAATCTTGTCTGTCTTTTGTTGTAGATGTTATTTAGTTTGACTGATGACTCGGATATCATCTGCAATGTTGAAATGTTCCAGGTGTTCAAGAAGGTTTCACTGAAGGCCCGTCCATGTGCCTGTGGTTGCTTTCTTCCTAACATAATCTATCACTATGAGAAACAAGAAAGATGACAGAATGTACCCTGTCTGACTCCTGATGTTACCCTAAAGTATTCTGTTTCCATGAGTCCTACTTTCACTTTGTATTGGCCGCCTTCATAGAGTCCTTTAAATATGTCTAGAACTTTATCTGGTCACCCATTGGCAGCAAGGATCATCCTCAACTCTGTTCTGTCCAGACTGTCAAAGGCCTTTTCAAAGTCTGTAAAGTTTATAAATAATGTGGCATTCCATTCTAAAGCTTGTTCCACAATATTTCTGGGAGTGAAAATCTGATCACATCAGTTTCTTTCTTTTCTGAATCCTGCCTGATTTTCTGACAAAACTCTGTCTATTTACATCTTTATTCTGTTGTATATCACTCTACAGAGTGCATTTCCGGGTACAGACAATAATGTTATGCCTCTCCAGTTGTTGCAGATTATCCTTCTTCGGTAGTCGGATGATTACATCATCGTTCCGGACTGTTAGCACCTTCCATTTATCCATAGTTTGTTGAATATTCCATGTCATGCTCTTGCTATAAATGGAGGGTCTGTGTAGCCAAGCTACGTAACAATATACACTTCAATAGTGAGTGTGTGGGTTTGAATCCTAATACTGCCCCCCCCCCCCCCCCCCCCCTCCCTAGCCCTCCTATATGTGAGCTGAGGTTAACTAGTAAGAAACTGGAACCTAAACACAGTTGACTTGACAGTGAAGATGCTGGAACCTAAACACAGTTGACTTGACAATGAAGATACTGGAACCTAAATACAGTTGACTTGACAATGAAGATACTGGAACCTAAATACAGTTGACTTGACAATGAAGATAAAGAGCAATTTGGCAGTGTCCTACTGGAATGGAGAACTGTTTGCTAAGCAGTAATATAAAGTAATAAGTTTACACACTTGAGCAAAGAGAATATTGAGATTTCTATCATTAAATAAATGTTGAAATTAGTTTCGTTTACCTGAAAAATTAAAACACAATGCCACCAAGTTCTGTTTCAAGCTTAGGGTTAGGGCCCAACAGATGGTAGAGTCTAAAGTTCCAAGCCCTATGTCCACACTTTTATAACTTCTTTTAAGCTTCTCCTATTTCTCCTCCTGAAAATCTCTCATTCCAATGATGCCAAAACTCCACCCTGGGAGTCCTATCACTGAATGTCTGTCAGTCCAGAAGGCACAAATAGTGTTTGCCAACACTGGGTTACATTCCCGGTCTTTCAAGATGGCCAGATCTAATAACTTGCCAGGTTCTGTCTACTAACACCTCCACCAGACCAGTGTCAATACTAGCCTTCAGATTGAGTATTTTCTGGGCTGCATTGCAGTACACATCTCTAGATTAAGCCCATTTTTCTTTGATATTTGCTGCATCAAATAATGGGCTAACAGTATTTTTCTTGCTTCTTCTTAATTTAAGCTTTGTGAATCTGGACTCTAAGCCTGCAGTTCTCTGTTCCTGGACTCTAAGCATGCAGTTCTGTTTCTGGACTCTAAGTCTGCAGATCTCTGTTCCTGGAGTCTAAGCCTGCAGTTCTCTGTTTCTGGACTCTAAGCCTGCAGTTCTCTGTTTCTGGACTCTAAGCCTGCAGTTCTCTGTTCCTGGACTCTAAGCCTGCAGTTCTCTGTTCCTGGACTCTAAGCATGCAGTTCTCTGTTCCTGGACTCTAAGCCTGCAGTTCTCTGTTCCTGGACTCTAAGCATGCAGTTCTCTGTTTCTGGACTCTAAGCATGCAGTTCTCTGTTCCTGGACTCTAAGCATGCAGTTCTCTGTTTCTGGACTCTAAGTCTGCAGTTCTCTGTTTCTGGACTCTAAGCCTGCAGTTCTCTGTTTATGGACTCTAAGCCTGCAGTTCTCTGTTTCTGGACTCTAAGCATGCAGTTCTCTGTTCCTGGACTCAAAGCATGCAGTTCTCTGTTCCTGGACTCTAAGCATGCAGTTCTCTGTTCCTGGACTCAAAGCATGCAGTCCTCTGTTCCTGGACTCTGAGCATGCAGTTCTCTGTTCCTGGACTCAAAGCCTGCAGTTCTCTGTTTCTGGACTCTAAGCATGCAGTTCTCTGTTCCTGGACTCTAAGCATGCAGTTCTCTGTTCCTGGACTCTAAGCATGCAGTTCTCTGTTCCTGGACTCTAAGCATGCAGTTCTCTGTTCCTGGACTCTAAGCATGCAGTTCTCTGTTCCTGGACTCTAAGCATGCAGTTCTCTGTTCCTGAACTCAAAGCCTGCAGTTCTCTGTTTCTGGACTCTCAGCATGCAGTTCTCTGTTTCTGGACTCTAAGCATGCAGTTCTCTGTTCCTGGACTCTAAGCATGCAGTTCTCTGTTCCTGGACTCTAAGCATGCAGTTCTCTGTTCCTGGACTCTAAGCATGCAGTTCTCTGTTCCTGGACTCAAAGCCTGCAGTTGTCTGTTTCTGGACTCTAAGCATGCAGTTCTCTGTTCCTGGACTCTAAGCCTGCAGTTCTCTGTTCCTGGACTCTAAGCCTGCAGTTCTCTGTTTCTGGACTCTAAGCATGCAGTTCTCTGTTCCTGGACTCAAAGCCTGCAGTTCTCTGTTCCTGGACTCTAAGCCTGCAGTTCTCTGTTCCTGGACTCTAAGCCTGCAGTTCTCTGTTTCTGGACTCTAAGCCTGCAGTTCTCTGTTTCTGGACTCTAAGCATGCAGTTCTCTGTTCCTGGACTCTAAGCATGCAGTTCTCTGTTCCTGGACTCTAAACATGCAGTTCTCTGTTTCTGGACTCTAAGCATGCAGTTCTCTGTTCCTGGACTCTAAGCATGCAGTTCTCTGTTTCTGGACTCTAAGCCTGCAGTTGTCTGTTTCTGGACTCTAAGCATGCAGTTCTCTGTTTCTGGACTCTAAGCATGCAGTTCTCTGTTTCTGGACTCTAAGCATGCAGTTCTCTGTTTCTGGACTCTAAGCATGCAGTTCTCTGTTTCTGGACTCTAAGCCTGCAGTTCTCTGTTTCTGGACTCTAAGCATGCAGTTCTCTGTTTCTGGACTCTAAGCATGCAGTTCTCTGTTTCTGGACTCTAAGCATGCAGTTCTCTGTTTCTGGACTCAAAGCCTGCAGTTCTCAGTTTCTGGACTCAAAGCCTGCAGTTTTCTGTTTCTGGACTCTAAGCATGCAGTTCTCTGTTTCTGGACTCTAAGCATGCAGTTCTCTGTTTCTGGACTCTAAGCCTGCAGTTCTCTGTTTCTGGACTCTAAGCCTGCAGTTCTCTGTTTCTGGACTCTAAGCCTGCAGTTCTCTGTTTCTGGACTCTAAGCCTGCAGTTCTCTGTTCCTGGACTCTAAGCCTGCAGTTCTCTGTTTCTGGACTCTAAGCCTGCAGTTCTCTGTTCCTGGACTCTAAGCATGCAGTTCTCTGTTCCTGGACTCTAAGCCTGCAGTTCTCTGTTTCTGGACTCTAAGCCTGCAGTTCTCTGTATCTGCAGCAGTTATGGTCATTGTATACAGTATGGGGTTGCTGGTCCCAGGTCCAAACTCTCTTAGTCACTTTTTAGGACTTGCTGAGAGGATGCAGGGTCCTATTCTTGATGATACTGGGCACCACACTGTGAGACTGCTGTATTACCCCAACACATCTGTGGCTGTCTGTATCATCCTGTTGTGTGACTGCTGTATTACCTAGACACATCTGTGGCTGTCTGTAACATCCTGTTGTGTGACTACTGTATTACCCAGACACATTTGTGGCTGTCTGTAACATCCTGTTGTGTGACTCCTGAATTACCCCAACATATCTGTGGCTGTCTGTAACATCCTGTTGTGTGACTGTCGTATTACCCCGACATATCTGTGTCTGTCTGTAACATCCTGTTGTGTGACTGCTGTCTCACCCCAACATATCTGTGGCTGTCTGTAACATCCTGTTGTGTGACTTTCGTATTACCCCGACATATCTGTGTCTGTCTGTAACATCCTGTTGTGTGACTGCTGTATTACCCCAACATATCTGTGGCTGTCTGTAACATCCTGTTGTGTGACTCCTGTATTACCCCAACATATCTGTGTCTGTCTGTAACATCCTGTTGTGTGACTGTCGTATTACCCCGACATATCTGTGTCTGTCTGTAACATCCTATTGTGTGACTGCTGTATTACCCAGACATATTTCTGGCTGGCTGTAACGTCCTGTTTTGTGACTGCCTTGACCTATCTGTGGCTGCCTGTAACATCCTGTCGTGTGACTGCTGTATTACCCTGACATATCTGTGGCTGTCTGTAACATCATGTTGAGTGACTGTCCTGACATATCTATGGCTGTCTGTAACATCCTGTTGTGTGACTGCCATATTACACTGGCAAATCTGTGGCTGTCTGTAACATCTTGCTGTGTGACTGCCCTGACATATCTGTGGCTGTCTGTAACATCCTGTTGTGTGACTTCCCTGACATTTCTGTGGCTGTCTGTAACATCCTGTTGTGTGACTGCCCTGATATATCTGTGGCTGTCTGTAACATCCTGTCATGTGACTGCTGTATTACCCCGACATATCTGTGGCTGTCTGTAACATCCTGTTGTGTGACTGCCCTGACATATCTGTGGCTGTCTGTAACATCCTGTTGTGTGACTGCTGTATTACCCCGACATATCTGTGGCTGTCTGTAACATCCTGTTGTGTGACTGCCCTGACATATCTGTGGCTGTCTGTAACATCCTGTCATGTGACTGCTGTATTACCCCGAAATATCTGTGGTTGTCTGTAACATCCTGTTGTGTGACTGCCCTGACATATCTGTGGCTGTCTGTAACATTCTGTTGTGTGACTGCCCTGACATATCTGTGGTTGACTGTAACATCCTGTTGTGTGACTGCCCTGACATATCTGTGGTTGACTGTAACATTCTGTTGTGTGACTGCTATATTACACTGACATATCTGTGGGTGTCTGTAACATCCTGTCATGTGACTGCTGTATTACCCCGAAATATCTGTGGTTGTCTGTAACATTCTGTTGTGTGACTGCCCTGACATATCTGTGGCTGTCTGTAACATCCTGTTGTGTGACTGCCCTGACATATCTGTGGTTGACTGTAACACCCTGTTGTGTGACTGTCCTGACATATCTGTGGTTGACTGTAACATCCTGTTGTGTGACTGCCCTGACATATCTGTGGTTGGCTGTAACATTCAGTTGTGTGACTGCTATATTACACTGACATATCTGTGGGTGGTTGTAACATTCTGTTGTGTGAATGCTGTATTACATTGACATATCTGTGGTTGGTTGTAACATTCTCTTGTGTCACTGATGTATTACCCCAACACATCTGTGGGTGGCTGTAACATTCTGTTGTGTCACTGCTGTATTACCCCGACATATCTGTGGTTGACTGTAACATCCTGTTGTGTGACTTCCCTGACATTTCTGTGGCTGTCTGTAACATCCTGTTGTGTGACTGCTGTATTACAGTGACATATCTCTGGCTGCCTGTAACATCCTATTGTGTGACTATCCTGACAAATTCATGGCTGCCTGTAACATCCTGTTGTGTGACTGCTGTATTGCTCTGTATGTCAACAGCAACTGCCAGTACCTGTAACGTTCTGTTGATGAGGAACAGTGAGCTGTACGAGGGCATTGAGGTTGTCGACAAGAACAACAAGGTTGTGGGCACATCCAGAGTGGCAGCTAAGAAGGTGAGCTATGTCTTCAAATCAATTGACCATATGTGTTCACATATAGTAGACGCTTGTGTTTAGATTCTCTGTCTATTCTTTTGCACTGTCCATGTGATCCCAGCAAGCCTTCACCATGACTAGTTGTTTCCAGTGATCTTCACCATGTCTACTTGATCCCATCGTCTTCACTATGTCTACTTGATCCCAGTGGCCTTCACCATGTCTTCTTGATCCCAGTGGCCTTCACTATGTCTACTTGATCCCAGCAAGCCTTCACCATGTCTACTTGATCCCAGCAAGCCTTCACCATGTCTACTTGATCCCAGCAAGCCTTCACCATGTCTACTTGATCCCATTGACCTTTACCATGTCTACTTGATCCTAGTGGCCTTCACTATGTCTACTTGATCCCAGCAAGCCTTCACCATGTCTACTTGATCCCATCAAGCCTTCACCATGTCTACTTGATCCCAGTGGCCTTCACCATGTCTACTTGATCCCAGCAAGTCTTCACCATGTCTACTTGATCCCAGCAAGCCTTCACCATGTCTACTTGATCCTAGTGGCCTTCACCATGTCTACTTGATCCTAGTGGCCTTCACCATGTCTACTTGATCCCAGCAAGCCTTCACCATGTCTACTTGATCCCAGCAAGTCTTCACCATGTCTACTTGATCCCAGTGGCCTTCACTATGTCTACTTGATCCCAGTGGCCTTCACTATGTCTACTTGATCCCAGCAAGCCTTCACCATGTCTACTTGACCTTAGTGGCCTTCACCATGTCTACTTGACCCTAGTGGCCTTCACTATGTTTCCTTGATCCCAGCAAGCCTTCACCATGTCTACTTGATCCCAGCAAGCCTTCACCATGTCTAATTGATCCCAGCAAGCCTTCACCATGTCTACTTGACCCTAGTGGCCTTCACTATGTTTCCTTGATCCCAGCAAGCCTTCACCATGTCTACTTGATCCCAGCAAGCCTTCACCATGTCTACTTGATCCCAGCAAGCCTTCACCATGTCTACTTGATCCCAGCAAGCCTTCACCATGTCTACTTGATCCCAGCAAGCCTTCACCATGTTTACTTGATCCCAGCAAGCCTTCACCATGTCTACTTGATCCCAGCAAGCCTTCACCATGTCTACTTGATCCCAGCAAGCCTTCACCATGTCTACTTGATCCCAGCAAGCCTTCACCATGTCTACTTGATCCCAGCAAGCCTTCACCATGTCTACTTGATCCCAGCAAGCCTTCACCATGTCTACTTGATCCTAGTGGCCTTCACTATGTCTACTTGACCCTAGTGGCCTTCACCATGTCTACTTGATCCTAGTGGCCTTCACCATGTCTACTTGATCCTAGTGGCCTTCACCATGTCTACTTGACCCTAGTGGCCTTCACCATGTCTACTTGATCCCAGCAAGCCTTCACATGTCTACTTGATCCCAGTGGCCTTCACATGTCTACTTGATCCCAGTGGCCTTCACCATGTCTACTTGATCCCAGTGGCCTTCACCATGTCTACTTGATCCCAGCAAGCCTTCACCATGTCTACTTGATCCCAGTGGCCTTCACCATGTCTACTTGATCCTAGTGGCCTTCACCATGTCTACTTGATCCCAGCAAGCCTTCACCATGTCTACTTGATCCTAGTGGCCTTCACCATGTCTACACTATCCTAGTGGCCTTCACTATGTCTACTTGATCCTAGTGGCCTTCACCATGTCTACTTGATCCCAGCAAGCCTTCACCATGTCTACTTGACCCTAGTGGCCTTCACCATGTCTACTTGATCCCAGCAAGCCTTCACCATGTCTACTTGATCCCAGCAAGCCTTCACCATGTCTACTTGATCCCAGCAAGCCTTCACCATGTCTTCTTGATCCTAGTGGCCTTCACCATGTCTACTTGACCCTTATGGCCTTCACCATGTCTACTTGACCCTAGCGGCCTTCACCATGTCTACTTGATCCCAGCAAGCCTTCACCATGTCTACTTTATCCCTGTGGCCTTCACTATGTTTCCTTGATCCCAGCAAGCCTTCACCATGTCTACTTGATGCCAGTGGCCTTCACCATGTCTACTTGATCCCAGCAAGCCTTCACCATGTCTACTTGACCCTAGTGGCCTTCACCATGTCTACTTGATCCTAGTGGCCTTCACCATGTCTACTTGACCCTAGTGGCCTTCACCATGTCTACTTGACCCTAGTGGCCTTCACCATGTCTACTTGACCCTAGTGGCCTTCACCATGTCTACTTGATCCTAGTGGCCTTCACCATGTCTACTTGATCCTAGTGGCCTTCACCATGTCTACTTGATCCTAGTGGCCTTCACCATGTCTACTTGACCCTAGTGGCCTTCACCATGTCTACTTGATCCTAGTGGCCTTCACCATGTCTACTTGATCCCAGCAAGCCTTCACCATGTCTACTTGATCCTAGTGGCCTTCACCATGTCTACTTGATCCCAGCAAGCCCTCACCATGTCTACTTGATCCCAGTGGCCTTCACCATGTCTACTTGATCCCAGCAAGCCTTCACCATGTCTACTTGATCCCAGCAAGCCTTCACCATGTCTACTTGATCCCAGCAAGCCTTCACTATTTCTACTTGATCCTGGTGGCCTTCACCATGTCTACTTGATCCCAGCAAGCCTTCACCATGTCTACTTGACCCTAGTGGCCTTCACCATGTCTACTTGATCCCAGCAAGCCTTCACCATGTCTACTTGATCCCAGCAAGCCTTCACCATGTCTACTCGATCCCAGCAAGCCTTCACCATGTCTACTTGACCCTAGTGGCCTTCACCATGTCTACTTGACCCTAATGGCCTTCACCATGTCTACTGCTTGATCCCAGCAAGTCTTCACCATGTCTACTTGATCCCAGCAAGCCTTCACCATGTCTACTTGATCCCAGCAAGCCTTCACCATGTCTACTTGATCCCAGCAAGCCTTCACCATGTCTAATTGACCCTAGTGCCTTCACCATGTCTACTTGATCCCAGCAAGCCTTCACCATGTCTACTTGATCCCAGTGGCCTTCACCATGTCTACTTGATCCTAATGGCCTTCACCATGTCTGCTTGATCCCAGCAAGCCTTCACCATGTCTACTTGATCCTAGTGGCCTTGACTATGTCTACTTGATCCTAGTGGCCTTCACTATGTCTACTTGATCCTAGTGGCCTTTACTATGTCTACTTGATCACAGCAAGCCTTCACCATGTCTACTTGATCCCAGCAAGCCTTCACCATGTCTACTTGATCCTAGTGGCCTTCACTATGTCTACTTGATCCTAGTGGCCTTCACCATGTCTACTTGATCCCAGCAAGCCTTCACCATGTCTACTTGATCCCAGCAAGCCTTCACCATGTCTACTTGATCCTAGTGGCTTTCACCATGTCTACTTGATCCTAGTGGCCTTCACTATGTCTACTTGATCCCAGCAAGCCTTCACCATGTCTACTTGATCCTAGTATCCTTCACTATGTCTACTTGATCCTAGTGGCCTTCACTATGTCTACTTTATCCTAGTGGCCTTCACCATGTCTACTTGACCCTAGTGGCCTTCACCATGTCTACTTGATCCCAGCAAGCCTTCACCATGTCTACTTGATCCTAGTGGCCTTCACCATGTCTACTTGATCACCATTTCTACTACTTGCCTCACCATGTCTACTTGATCTAGTGGCCTTCACCATGTCTACTTGATCATAGTGATCCCAGCGCCTTCACCATGTCTACTTGATCCCAGTGGTTTTCACCATGTCTACTTGATCCCAGCAAGCCTTCACCATGTATACTTGATCCCAGCAAGCCTTCACCATGTCTACTTGATCCTAGTGGCCTTCACCATGTCTACTTGATCCCAGCAAGCCTTCACCATTCTACTTGATCCCAGTCTACATGTTGATCCCAGCAAGCCTTCACCATGTCTACTTGACCCTAGTGGCCTTCACCATGTCTACTTGACCCTAGTGGCCTTCACCATTTCTACCTGATCCCAACAAGTCTTCACCATGTCTACTTGATCCCAGCAAGCCTTTACCCTACTTGATCCCAGCAAGCCTTCACCATGTCTACTTGACCCTAGTGTGCTACTTCACCACCTACTTGAGTGCCTTCACCATGTCTACTTGATCCCAGTGGCCTTCACCATGTCTACTTGATCCCAGTGGCCTTCACATGTCTACTTGATCCTAGTGGCCTTCACCATGTCTACTTGATCCCAGCAAGCCTTCACCATGTCTACTTGATCCTAGTGGCCTTCACCATGTCTACACTATCCTAGTGGCCTTCACTATGTCTACTTGATCCTAGTGGCCTTCACCATGTCTACTTGATCCCAGCAAGCCTTCACCATGTCTACTTGATCCCTAGTGGCCTTCACCATGTCTACTTGATCTACTATCCCAGTGGCCTTCACCATGTCTACTTGATCCTATGCCTTCACCATGTCTACTTGATCCCAGCAAGCCTTCACCATTCTACCATAGTCTACTTGATCCTAGTCACCATGTCTATCCTAGTGGCCTTCACCATGTCTACTGATCCCAGCAAGCCTTCACCATGTCTACTTGATCCCAGTGGTCTTCACCATGTCTACTTGATCCCAGTGGTTTTCACCATGTCTACTTGATCCCAGCAAGCCTTCACCATGTCTACTTGATCCCAGCAAGCCTTCACCATGTCTACTTGATCCTAGTGGCCTTCACCATGTCTACTTGATTCTAGTGGCCTTCACCATGTCTACTTGATCCTAGTGGCCTTCACCATGTCTACTTGATCCCATCAAGCCTTCACCATGTCTACTTGATCCTAGTGGCCTTCACCATGTCTACTTGATTCTAGTGGCCTTCACCATGTCTACTTGATCCCAGCAAGCCTTCCCTAGTGGCCTTCACCATGTCTCTATCCTAGTGGCCTTCACCAGTGATCCTAGTGGCCTTCACTATGTCATCCTAGTGGCCTTCACCATGTCCTAGGGCCTTCACCATGTCTACTTGATCCTAGTGGCCTTCACCATGTCTACTTGATTCTAGTGGCCTTCACCATGTCTACTTGATCCTAGTGGCCTTTACCATGTCTACTTGATCATAGTGGCGTTCACCATGTCTACTTGATCCCAGTGGTCTTCACCATGTCTACTTGATCCCAGTGGTTTTCACCATGTCTACTTGATCCCAGCAAGCCTTCACCATGTCTACTTGATCCTAGTGGCCTTCACCATGTCTACTTGATCCCAGCAAGCCTTCACCATGTCTACTTGATCCCAGCAAGCCTTTACCATGTCTACTTGATCCCAGCAAGCCTTCACCATGTCTACTTGACCCTAGTGGCCTTCACCATGTCTACTTGACCCTAGTGGCCTTCACCATTTCTACCTGATCCCAACAAGTCTTCACCATGTCTACTTGATCCCAGCAAGCCTTTACCATGTCTACTTGATCCCAGCAAGCCTTCACCATGTCTAATTGACCCTAGTGCCTTCACCATGTCTACTTGACCCTAGTGCCTTCACCATGTCTACTTGATCCCAGCAAGCCTTCACCATGTCTACTTGATCCTAGTGGCCTTGACTATGTCTGCTTGATCCTAGTGGCCTTCACTATGTCTACTTGATCCCAGTGGCCTTCACCATGTCTACTTGATCCTAGTGGTGACCTTCACTATGTCTACTTGATCCTAGTGGCCTTTACTGTGTCTACTTGATCCTAGCAAGCCTTCACCATGTCTACTTGATCCCAGCAAGCCTTCACCATGTCTACTTGATCCTAGTGGCCTTCACTATGTCTACTTGATCCTAGTGGCCTTTACTATGTCTACTTGATCACAGCAAGCCTTCACCATGTCTACTTGATCCTAGTGGCCTTTACTATGTCTACTTGATCCCAGCAAGCCTTCACCATGTCTACTTGATCTCAGCAAGCCTTTACCATGTCTACTTGATCCTAGTGGCCTTCACTATGTCTACTTGATCCTAGTGGCCTTCACTATGTCTACTTGATCCCAGCAAGCTCTCACCATGTCTACTTGATCCCAGTGGCCTTCACTATGTCTGCTTGATGCCTGTGGCCTTTACCATGTCTACTTGATCCTAGTGGCCTTCACTATGTCTACTTGATCCCAGCAAGCCTTCACTATGTCTACTTGATCCTAGTGGCCTTCACCATGTCTGCTTGATGCCTGTGGCCTTTACCATGTCTACTTGATCCCATCAAGCCTTCACCATGTCTAGTTGATCCCAGCAAGCCTTCACCATGTCTACTTGACCCTAGTGCCTTCACAATGTCTACTTGATCCTAGTGGCCTTCACTATGTCTACTTGATGCCTGTGGCCTTTACCATGTCTACTTGATCCCATCAAGCCTTCACCATGTCTAGTTGATCCCAGCAAGTCTTCACCATGTCTACTTGATCCCTGTGGCCTTCACCATGTCTACTTGATCCCTGTGGCCTTCACCATGTCTACTTGATCCTAGTGGCCTTCACTATGTCTACTTGATCCCTGTGGCCTTCACTATGTCTACTTGATCCTAGTGGCCTTCACCATGTCTACTTGATCCCTGTGGCCTTCACTATGTCTACTTGATCCTAGTGGCCTTCACCATGTCTACTTGATCCTAGTGGCCTTCACTATGTTTACTTGATCCTAGTGGCCTTCACTATGTCTACTTGATCCCAGGAAGCCTTCACTATGTCTACTTGATCCTAGTGGCCTTCACCATGTCTACTTGATGCCTGTGGCCTTTAACATGTCTACTTGATCTCAGCAAGTCTTCACCATGTCTACTTGATCCCAGCAAGTCTTCACCATGTCTACTTGATCCTAAAGTAGATGTCACTTGTTGTTTGTAGCGTTGGATTGAATCAACTGGAGGTTGTGTGGAGCATGTTGAGACAGTATTGTGTTTCACAAATTTGGCTCTGCAAAAGCTCAATGAAAGAAGCTTCAGATGGCCATGTTCATGAATTTTGTGTTTCTGTATTCTACAGGAAATTAGGTGTAATGCCTAGTATTGAAGAGAACGTGACTGTTTAACCATTTCGCTGCTGTGGACGTTAGGATATGTTTGCCCTAGAGGCTGCTAAGGATGTATTTCTGCATCAGACAATGAATTTGTCTGTCTGTCACATTGTACAATTTTGTTCTTTTTTCCAGATCTAAATTTAGTGTGACATTCTAGTGTAGTTGGTATCACATCTGCCTTACAATCCTTTTTCAACCCTTTCATGACTTTTTGTCAAGTTTTTTAAGTGTATATTTTAAATGTCAGTTGTTAGCACTTTCAACAACTGATCTGCCAAGTAACTGTTTAACTCTTTGAGTCCCAAGGAACACATCATATGTGCATTGGATCCTGCCTAGAAGCCCAGTGAATGCATGATGTGCCGATTTTATGTATCTCTTTGCCACCCCTTGGGCCTGTGAGCTAAACCCTCTGGGACGCAAAGAGTTGGAAAGAAAACATAATAACAGGCACTACAATTAATTATGATTAAAGTGGGAGCCCAGAAAATTTATCAATCAAATTGAGTGGGGAAAGGGGGGGGGGGGGGGGGCAAACAGATTCTTCTATTCATTCTTCCCTTGTACCTGGGAGTTTTGTGGGTGAAAGGGCAGCAGTTTTGTCAGCCAAATTTGCGGGGCCATGGAATGGGCAGGTAATAGCCTCAGATACACTCAAGGCACTGACTAAACATGTGGCAACCGTGAAGACTATGATGAAGTAGAAAATGGAAGAATTAAATTGTCTTGCAAATATCCACCTGCAGGAAATATAAAGCAATCAAGATGTTCAAAGAATTTTCCTGCTTACGATCGAAAGGCTACTGTTATGTTCCCTCCACTGTGGAGTTTCTACTACATATACGGCAGCTGTGGAGACAACGATCAAGTAGACTTAGCAGAGGATACACTTTGTTTCACTACCCCTAGTGAAGTTGGGCAATTAACTGTCTAGTTTCTAGTGCTTCTTTTTGTAAAGGCATCTCATGGCAACGCCAAAGTGCATCTGATTTATCAGCACTGTAGCCACCACCAGCTTCCCTAGGGTGAAGATGTTTAGGTGTACAAAATAGAGCCCATACCGCGGACACATCTTTTGTGTTTGGAGGATAGAAAAGTATTCAACACAGGGGAACGGTTCAGCAAGGAAACTTGCTTAGCATAGTGGTAACGTTGGCTGCGAAGTGCATAGTGGTAACGTTGGCTGTGAAGTGCATAGTGGTAACGTTGGTAGCAAAAAGGTTAAAATGAGATTTGTTCGTGTCCTAGAGGCATCTTGTGTGTTCACATATCCACATCTCTGACCATAATTACAGGTTTCACACTATCCACACTTCTATCCATGACAACCACTCTATCCATGACAACAGCTGTATCCATGACAACAGCTCTATCCAAGACAACCACACTATCCATGACAACATCTCTATCCATGACAACTGCTCTATAAATGACAACAGCTTTATCCATAACAACAGCTCTATCCATGACAACAGCTCCATCCATGACAACAGCTCTATCCATGAGCACAGCTCTATACATGACAACAGCTCTATCCATGAGCACAGCGCTATCCATGAGCACATCTCTATACATGACAACAGCTCTATCCATGAGCACATCTCTATACATGACAACAGCTCTATCCATGAGCACATCTCTATACATGACAACAGCTCTATCCATGAACACATCTCTATACATGACAACAGCTCTATCCATGAGCACATCTCTATACATGACAACAGCTCTATCCATGAGCACATCTCTATACATGACAACAGCTCTATCCATGAGCACATCTCTATACATGACAACAGCTCTATCCATGAGCACAGTTCTATACATGACAACAGCTCTATCCATGACAACAGCTCTATACAGGACAACAGCTCTATACATGACAGCAGCTCTATACATGACAACAGCTCTATACATGACAACAGCTCTATACATGACCACAGTTCTGTACAAGACAACAGCTCTATACATGACAAAAGCTCTATACATGACAACAGCTCTATACATGACAACAGCTCTATACATGACAACAGCTCTATAATGACCACAGCTCTATTCATGACCACAGTTCTGTATGTGACAACAACTCTATACACTACAACAGCTCTATACATGACAACAGCACTATACATGACAACAGCTTTATTCATGACAACAGCTCTATACATAACAACAGCTCTATACATGACAACAGCTCTATACATGACAACAGCTTTATACATGACAAAAGCTCTATACATGACAACAGCTCTAAACATGACCACAGCTCTATCCATGACAACAGCTCTATCCATGACAACAGCTCTATACATGACAACAGCTCTATACATGACCACAGCTCTATAATGACCACAGCTCTATTCATGACAACAGCTCTATACATGACCACAGCTCTATCCATGATGAGCTGTCTTATTTTTCCACAGGCTCTAGCAGAGACGGCCTTGACCCGGATGTTTCTGCCAGCTCCAATATTGCTCATTCCTCCCATTGTCATGTCGTTTCTAGAGAAGTGAGTGATTGTGTCATCTGTTACTGTGTTATTTTTATGCTTGTGTCATCTGTTACTGTGTGACTTGTATGCTTGTGTCATCTGTTACTGAGTGATTTGTATGCTTGTGTCATCTGTTACTGTGTGATTTGTATGCTTGTGTCATCTGTTACTGTGTGATTTGTATGCTTGTGTCATCTGTTACTGTGTGATTTGTATGCTTGTGTCATCTGTTACTGTGTGATTTGTATGCTTGTGTCATCTGTTACTGTGTGATTTGTATGCTTGTGTCATCTGTTACTGTGTGATTTGTATGCTTGTGTCAGCTGTTACTGTGTGATTTGTATGCTTGTGTCATCTGTTACTGTGTGATTTGTATGCTTGTGTCATCTGTTACTGTGTGATGTGTATGCTTGTGTCATCTGTTACTGTGTGACTTGTATGCATGTGTCATCTGTTACTGTGTGATTTGTATGCTTGTGTCATCTGTTACTGTGTGATTTGTATGCTTGTGTCATCTGTTACTGTGTGATTTGTATGCTTGTGTCATCTGTTACTGTGTGATTTGTATGCTTGTGTCAGCTGTTACTGTGTGATTTGTATGCTTGTGTCATCTGTTACTGTGTGATTTGTATGCTTGTGTCATCTGTTACTGTGTGATTTGTATGCTTGTGTCAGCTGTTACTGTGTGATTTGTATGCTTGTGTCATTTGTTCTTGTGTGACTTGTATGCTTGTGTCATCTGTTACTGTGTGATTTGTATGCTTGTGTCAGCTGTTACTGTGTGATTTGTATGCTTGTGTCATTTGTTCTTGTGTGATTTGTATGCTTGTGTCATCAGTTACTGAGTGATTTGTATGCTTGTGTCATCAGTTACTGAGTGATTTGTATGCTTGTGGCATCTTACTGTGTGATTTGTATGCTTGTGTCATCTGTAACTGAGTGATTTGTATGCTTGTGTCAGCTGTTACTGAGTGATTTGTATGCTTGTGTCATCTGTTACTGAGTGATTTGTATGCTTGTGTCATCAGTTACTGTGTGATTTGTATGCTTGTGTCATCAGTTACTGTGTGATTTGTATGCTTGTGTCATCAGTTACTGAGTGATTTGTATGCTTGTGGCATCTTACTGTCTGATTTGTATGCTTGTGTCATCTTACTGTGCTATTTGTTCTTGTGTTAGCAGTTACTGTGTGATTTGTTCTTGTTTCATCAGTTACTGTGTGATTTGTATGACTGTGTCATCAATTATTGTGTGATTTGTATGACTGTGTCATCTGTTACTGTGTGATTTGTATGACTGTGTCATCAATTATTGTGTGATTTGTATGACTGTGTCATCAATTATTGTGTGATTTGTATGACTGTGTCATCAATTATTGTGTGATTTGTATGACTGTGTCATCAATTATTGTGTGATCTGTATGACTGTGTCATCAGTTACTGTGTGATTTGTATGACTGTGTCATCAGTTACTGTGTGATTTGTATGACTGTGTCATCAATTATTGTGTGATTTGTATGACTGTGTCATCAATTATTGTGTGATTTGTATGACTGTGTCATCAGTTACTGTGTGATTTGTATGACTGTGTCATCAGTTACTGTGTGATTTTTATGGCTGTGTCATCAGTCACTGACAGAAAGTGACATCCCTACAGATAGAAAGTTGATACCCCACAGACAGAGAGTGTGGTATCCCCACAGACAGAGAGTGACATCCCCACAGACAGAAAGATGATACCCACAGATATAGAGTGACATCCCCACAGACAGAAAGATGATACCAACAAATATAGAGTGACATTCCCACAGAAAAAAAGATGATACCCGCAAATATAGAGTGACATCCCCACTGACAGAAAGTTGATACCCCACAAATATAGAGTGACATCCCCTCGCTCACGTGCGAACACACACACCCACATACACACGCAAACCAATTCGCTCACTTATACACACACACATAGGCACCTAATACACACATACATTCACATACATACGAACATGCACACATACATTAACATACATACGAACATGCACACACACATACATACATACATACATACATACATACATACATACATACATACATACATACATACATACATACGTACGTACGTACGTACATACATACATACATACATACATACATACATACATACATACATACATACATACATACATACATACATACATACATACATACATACATACATACATACATACATACATACATACATACATACATACATGCATGCATGCATGCATGCATGCATGCATGCATGCACGCACGCACGCACGCACGCACGCACGCACGCACGCACGCACGCACGCACGCACGCACGCACGCACGCACGCACGCACGCACGCACGCACGCACGCACGCACGCACGCACGCACGCACGCACGCACGCACGCACGCACGCACGCACGCACGCACGCACGCACGCACGCACGCACGCACGCACGCACGCACGCACGCACGCACGCACGCACGCACGCACGCACGCACGCACGCACGCACGCACGCACGCACGCACGCACGCACGCACGCACGCACGCACGCACGCACGCACGCACGCACGCACGCACGCACGCACGCACGCACGCACGCACGCACGCACGCACGCACGCACGCACGCACGCACGCACGCACGCACGCATGCATGCATGCATGCATGCATGCATGCATACATACATACATACATACATACATACATACATGCATGCTTACATGCGTACATACATACGTATGTACATACATACATACATACATACATACATACATACATACATACATACATACATACATACATACATACATACATACATACATACATACATACATACATACATACATATATACATGCATGCCAAGTGGATTTCAAGCTGTACAATAGACATGGCCAATAAGACACCATTTTTTGGGGGTGCCTAGTTGACCATGTTCTTGGTGCACCTGTATCCATGGAGAGGCGCAGACGCCATTTGGAGGTGATAGGTTCAATTCCCGGCACGATAACTATAGCTTTTGATTTTTATGTTGTCTATTGCGTTCTTCTATCTTTCTACTTTTCTACTTCTTTCTATGAGTGCCGATCAATACACTTTA